AAGCACTTAGTCGGTTTGGACTAGCCTTCTCGGCAATATGGGTCATGAATATTCACTCGGATAGTCATTGTTATTACTTGATTCTACTTACAATTGGCCCGTTCCTCATGTCCCGTGTACATACATAAACGCGCGCATGTCTGACAATGTATCGCACGAGCCTTTTGTCGCCGACTACAATGGAACGTTACAACCAATGCGGACAAAATGTCCGCATTGGTTGTAATATCCGAAGAATATAAAGCAAAAAACCATGTTAACGAAGCTAAAGTAATATCAATGTGTTTTAATTAGCCATATCTCTTAAGCACTCAAACGCGCACATGCACATATCAATTATACCCATAATGATCCCATAGAAAGTTAATGTAGCACGATCCAAATTAATTTGAAGCGCCTATCTTGATAGATCAGTTAACGTTGACGTAAATATCCTTTACTATGTATATGAGAGAGGATTCCATAAAATAAAATATACACAAACGTATAATAAAATATACAAACGTTCGTCGAAAAATGAAATAGATTAATGAAAATTTGAAGCGACAGTACTCTGTTAATTTATTAGGCATTTAATTTTTATATATTGTATGTACACACAGATATATTTTTAGGTCCGTATTCAGAACTCGCTAACATGCTGTAGTTTACGTTATGCATACTATAAAATTTCAGAGATAAAAGCACGCTTTTATTGGTAAAAACGCGTTCTGATCATTAAACACTGGAGGTGAAATAAAACCTTACATAAATTACAAGAAATATAAGTATCACCAAATATAAAAGTGAAAGTTATATCTCGAAATCAGAAGTTATCCATTGTAAAGAGATACGGTACAAATGTACTAAATGGTTCAGCAGAAAAAGCAGCTTTGCGACTTGCTGTACGATTCTTTAATATAATTAATTTATACATTTAGCTCCAGTAAAGAATAAAGGCAAGACTAATCACATCAAAGAATTTTACAACTGTTGCAAAGCTATACTTCTTCTGCTGAATACACCAATGATTTGGAGGATACATTTATATGAAGAGCGTGTGTACCTTGTGAGATATCCTAATCTTTTTCTTCCTTATTTATATACTTTTAAATCTTATTACAAGATTTTTAATGTTCTTATTGAAAAATGTATATATATCTGTACTACTTGTTATTCATCTTGTTTTTTATTGTTACTCATATATCGAAAATATAAACATGTTTTGTTGGTACCCCAATATAACATTAAAAAAACGAACATTATATGTACGATTCGATTTGGAATTCCGTATATTCATAATGTAATTCCCAGCATAAAATCGACGTGATTAATATTTCTTAATTATTCGTGATCTTATTCATATTTACTGTGGCAACAGTAATACTCCTTACATAATGTAAGGGAATATTGATATAGCAATAGAAATAACACAGAAATGATCTATCAGGAACCGTGTATATTAGAATGCTACGGTTTTGATACTTGATGAGTTATTCCTGTGTTATTTCTATCGCTATCGTTGCTTCGCATTGTGCAAGGAGCATAAGTACACATCCGACGCGTCGTCAGTGAACAATATGGTGTGCAATAGCGCATAACTCTGTTGCTGTCGATTGTCATTTGTATAAAAACTGGTCTAAATGATACATTTGTAACGTCGAGGATATAGGAGGTATGAGAACCGTCACCTTCAAAAGAAAAATACTACTAGTTAATGATACCTTTTGAGGCTTTCACGGGTATTTTTTTCAATTATACCAGAAGGTTTGCGGGTTATCGCCGTGTCTTTCTTCATTGTTAATGTCAACGTTTCGTGAACCGTTGGCATTAACAATGAAGAAAGACACGGCGATAACCCGCAAACCTTCTGGTATAATAATGATACCTCCAATCAAACCTTTGTATTCATTATTGCTTTGTGTATTTTATACCTAGCGCTATTATACCGGAAAAAATACAGGTACCTCCTATTAGAAAAAATATTTCTTATTGGTATGTAACTAGAAATATCATTTCCATTCATTCAAATTATTACCTTGAATTTTTAGAAATACTATGCGATTAAGATAGTTAGGGCTCACGAGATTCTAAAGTCGTCTGTTTTACCGATTATTTCTCAAATAAGTATTTTCTGTCTTTACAGATTAAAAAATTCTCCACAATTAAAGTATAAGCGAAATTGTAGTTGATTTTGAGTCAAAAATGAAGAAAAGTTAAGAAATATAGTTTTGTTATCGGCTTCTGAGAGAGAGAGAGAGAGAGAACAAACAAAAAAATGTGTTCTTAGAATTAGGCTTAGATACTTTATAAAAAATTGCTTAGTTGGAAAATTTGTATGTATGTGTGCGTGCATGCGATATTGATGTAGTAATAAGTAGTATGTAATGATATATGTCAATGGCACATAAATCGTATTGAATCAATAATACAGATGGCTTTAAAATCCCCTTAAGAGTATACATCATACGTTATTTCAAATTGAAAGAATCTGTCTTAATTATTAATTTATGTGATTTCCTGAGATCTTAAAATATTATAGGATTAACTTTGACTTAAAATCGAAGAATTTTGATCCAAATTTTGATAATGTACGGGTAACATCAAAATCTTAAAGTATATCAAAGTGCTAAAGACGTTTTAGGGCGTCTTATGTTCTGATTTTCAATTGACACGTGTACTGTAAAGATATTTTTTTAATTATACCAAATTACTTTATTTTATAATACTGAATAAACTAATAAAATAAAATTAGCAATTTCTGATTACGAGCTTATGCATGGCAAGCTTACGTTGGTGATGTTAATTTTCGATCTGTGCAAATTATCGGCATGAGGGATGAGTATAATCCAGTTGCCCAGAGAAACCCATCGACCCGTTATTGTATTTTAATGCATCTCAAGTATAATTAACGATTCTATTTTACGTCGTCACCTCAAATTTTAATTAATTAATGCATCGATGTACAATACGTGTTATAAGTCGCGAGAATCGATGTAAGCTACGGACGAAAATGAACTGATGCATTCTGCGCTGCACTGCGAGAACAGCGGCAAAAACGGGGGCGCGCTTTAATTTTAATATCACCTACATATTAGCATCTATCTTGTAATTCACTTCGTGTAAAATATCAGTTTGCTGCGAGCTGTTTTATGTTGTTACATATATAAGAAGAAAAACAAAGATATTTCTTTCTTTTTTTTTTTTTAGAAAAAATTCGTGTTAGAAAAGAGAAAAAGTAAATCCTTTTTGTTAAAAACAAGGTAAAACCAATGTTATTTAGCGTAATTAACTGTACACACGTTTCAATCTAGCAGAACTTGTCATTGTTCTGCTTGGTAATCATACATACATCATAATGCACGAAAGGGGCGGCAACTGCACTCATGTAATCACGTGCGGTTTTTCAGTTTACTTAATTTGCTTATAGTATTGCGCGTTCTTTCATTTTTAGAGACAGCTCTCTTTAATTTTTGTCTAATTTTTGCAAGAACGATTTTATAGAAATATTAAAAGTTTAGGTAAATATAGATTTGAAAATAATTTTGTTGGATTGTCAAAATGATTATGTAGGAAATTCAAGCATGATGAATAATGCTGCTGCAAAAGCTTTGATATTCTAATAACTATTCAGCTTGAGTAACCTACACAGTTATCTGACAATTCCAACAAAATTATTTTTAGATGTAACTAAATGTCTGAATACTTCAGCAAAAGTCGTTCTTTCCGTGAAGTTTGAAATAAAAATATTACACTGTTTTGCCCTTATCGAGACGATATATTGCACGTGTGACCGAACTAGTATGCTATATCTATTTCGCGTTTAAAAGGATGGTAGAAAATATCCTATGATTTGTTCTTTAAAGCGCAAGTGCTTGCAACAGAATAGAAAGTTTCTTGCGCAGAAGCGCGCTGCCAAACGCGCTTTGTAAATAGATAAAATAAAAACAAACTGTGGGAATTTTCTTTGAAAACGTAAAGCGAGGTCCCCTCTGAGAAGACCCTCCCACCTCCGCGTGTTTGCTTTGTGGAATATCGTCGCGCACAAACGCACCCAGGAACTCTACCTTAGAATGGAGAATGCTACTCTAGTAAAGCGTACACTCTTTAAATAGTAAAGCGGTGTCTCCACAATAGAAGCCTTAAATTGTAATAGAAAATTGACCAATCATAATCGATTATTCTCTTCACATTCGATTGATCAATTTTTTACGGCTAGTAAGGCTTATACTTCTTCTTGTGCAACACAGATTTCTAAGTGACATCCTAAAGATGTTCTACGTTCTGAGGATGTTCCCTCGGATAAAGTGCGTTCTGTGGAATTACAATGTGAGGGGCACATTTTTGTACTAATCTTTTATGATACATGAAAAAAAAAACGAAAAAACATACGAGAGTTTTGTTATTCATGTTTGTTAATACCCGGCCGTATAAAATAATCCGTCGGCCTCGGATTTGCATGATCAGCAGGTACGCGCGTAAAAACTGCCGTGCAAAACCACGCGAAATACGGCTGTTTGCATTGGTCGTGTACAATTCTGATTTACACAAGTCTGCAATCGCCATGCAACTAAATGAAATCGTGATAAGGGTTTGCATAGTTAATGCCTACGTAAAAGCTATCGTGCAAATAAAATCCTTCGGATAAAGCTGAGAAACAAATGCCATAGAGAATAGAGACGGTTCCTAGGCTTTTTGCATTATACGGATATTTACGAGGCAGTTTAATGAAATCCGTGAGCGGGCGAGTTTCCGGATTTGTACGGTACACATAAATAGCGAGAAAGCTACGCGTATAAATTGAATCCGGCCAGAGGCGGAGGAACGCGTAGAGAGAGAGATTCTCGTTTACCACTCGATGCTTTGAAACGCCGCGACGCGGTCTATTTGTTTGCGCACAGCATTTTTCATATGTGCACAATGCGCAAATCGAAGGATTCGCGCTTTTTGTTGGTCGTCTCGTCGTTGTTTATTACCGTGCATTGGAGATAATTCAATTTTTTATCGTTCCTCTGTTGCAGCACTGTTTCGCGATATCGTACAGGAGGGAGAACCAACGGCAATACGAGCTAAAAGCGGCCACAGAGACGGACTGCAAAGCGTGGATCGATGCGATACGAGAAGCTAGGTAAACGACGACGGTTAGCGCCCGAATCGAAGATCTCGACGACTGATTAAAACGACGCACGGCGTCGTCCTGATTCAGGAGATCGCGCATCCCATAAATCACAACGATTATCCCGATGACTGATTGTGAGCGTGGCCAGGCGGCGTTTAATGATTCAAAGCTCCAATTAGATTCACCGTTTCAATCACCCATACCAATTAATTTTACCCGCAGGACAAGAAAAATTCCACTATTATGGACGTATTCAGGGAGGGGGAGGTTAGGGGGTCCAATTTCGCCCTAAAAACTTTTTTATTTTTTTATTTTTAATTATACAAGGTACAACTTTATTTTTTACTCTGAATAAATTTTTTGTTGCCTTATAAATTTTTTGGTTTCTTTTCTATAACCATATCATTTCAGGAACTTCCATTAAATTTTGACAGAGCATCTAATACATAAAAAAAGTATAAAGAAACGATGGTCTAAATCGAGCGAAATCTAATTATTACATAAAAAAAATTTTTGTAAAATTTTTTAACTGAAAAACAGCGTGTATATTAAGATATTAATGAATATTCCACTTACAACAACAAATTTCATTTTTAATCTTTTCGCTATGTCCTTTCTGCTGGAACGTTTCCACCGAACAAGATGCCGCCGCCGCGCGCCAAAAGTTACGCGTGAACAGTCTTTAGTGATTGAAATCAGGAACATGAAAACATTTTGAGCTCTAAAGTTTCAAAAAAATTAATTTATTAATACAAAAAGATGCTATTTATATGATAATAGAATTAATAATTCGTTCCGCGAAAAAATCTTGAATACACTTATGCTCATTGGCAGTTTCATCGCGCATCATACAATATTTATTGGATCATTGATCCAGTTTCAACTTATTTAAGCTTTCCTCTTTTCTTTTTTAAGATAGGATTAAGAATGTGTATAATACGCCTTAAAACTAACTATAAAACACAAAATAAATAATTTGATTTATAACAGTTTATGCACCACAATGATCACATATTACTATACTTTTAAACGGATATAAATAGGTATGCACCAACTTTTACACAATATTTATTAGAGTTTTAATACAGGAAAAGATTATACTGAAATATCTAGAAATTTAACTAAATTCACACACCATTAAAAATTAATTTTAGCTATTAAAACATAATATGTTGGATATTCAACCTTATTATACTAGAATGTTAAAACTTTTTGCTACATTACGTATCATATTTGAAATTTCGAAATAATTATTTTGATAGTGTTTAAATTATTTTTAGATCTGTACCTAGTTATAATTTTAGATATTTTAGCAAAATCGTTCATTTCGCGTGTATATTACATATATAAAAAATTTAATTTAATTCTTAATCCTACTTCTTTATCAAATTTACAAATAAGTATTATAAAATACTATTTTGTATAAAAATCAAGACAAGCAAGAAATTTAAAAAACTTTTAAATCAATAAGAAAATTATTCTCAAATATAGATACTCAAACGTAATAATAAAACGATATATCTAAAAAATATTTATATTTATATTTATATTTTTAGTTATGCTTTGAGATGTGATACATCGCTAATTACAACAGTTAATAAGTTCTTCATAACTTTGTTAAATATTTTTCAAATTTAAATCAATTATGCACGTGAGGAAGGGATACTCGATATCCGTTATTGATATTCGAGCCGGTAGGTGCAGATCAAAATATGATCTCCGACAGTAACGTGCGTGAAAAAGCTTCATTTATTCTGATTGAATTACAAATAATTTGTATAATTTTTCGGTGCAAAGGCGAAACAAATTTTTCATTAATACAGTCTCGATGGCGTGTAGTAGACCCACACCATTCCTTTATCAGGGTTATCTCCTTTAATAAATCTTCTATTTTTAATAAAACAGCGGCAAAGTAATATCAGATCTTGCGATTAGAGACTTAAAGGTATTTATTTTTTATAAAACAAAGGTGGAATTGTTCGAGCTAACGGAATAATCCTGTAATGAACAATACGGTTCGTGGCACAATAATTAACTTGATTCTCCAACATCACTCCGTTTTATTTGTACTTTGCGCGCGCGGTAGACTCTTAGTCTATTATTCAAAAGGTTACCTTAATCTCATTGATGCGTTGATAAATACGTTTACGGGCATCGCATTAACATTGAGCCGTCTCAGCCACCACCTCTCTATTAATCCCCGTGCCGTAATTTGTGCACATTAACGCTGAAGTAATCTTCATCATGCTATCAAACGCGTCTTATGGGCCAGAGGGCGAACTAGTAACAGCTGGTTATTGCGGAAACTCCAGTGAAGAGGATTGCACAAGGATACGATCCTAATATTACAAATGTACTTCATCGTTAATGCAATTCCAAATTCATGATTCCGGCAAAATAAAGATGACTATTTAAAAGAGCTTCTTTCTGTCTACAGTCAGTGAAAAAAATATTCGTATAGGAGAGATACCTACCATAAAAATACTTTATTTTTAAAAAAGTAAATATTAATTACCAATTCATTAATAATGAATAAAATAGATTACATATCAAAATTATTTTACTTAAAGGGATGTAATAACTAAAGTATATTATCTTTTATAATGAAATAAGTAAAAATAAAAAATTATTTTATTTGGATACAGAAATAAAGTATTTATACAATCGAGAAGGTTCTAAAAATCATAAACATTAATTATTTTTGCGAAACTTTTGTTTATATTTGGACTTATAGTTAATAAATTTCTATAATTATCTCTAAATCTGAATCAGTGGTTAATCACTAATTATCCAGTAGCATACTTGGCAGATAAATAACAAAGTTCAATTAAAAAAGAAAGAAAGTTTCAACATATACCTAAAATACTGATATATATTAATTTCGATCTTCTAATACCATATTCATTGAATTTATGCTCTAAAACAAAGTTAGTTAAATTGCATAATAAAGTTTAACTAGGTTAGGGATCTTACATTACATTCACTGATTACCAGTGGCGTACTTGGCACTGATATCAATGATTGTCCACTGATTTAGATTTAGAGAGTAAATAATTAATGTTTATTTTTTACAAATAAGATTTTTTAAATACAAATCCGTCTTTTATGAATATATTTTGCATTTACTGTATATATTTCTTTCCTTTACAAGTTAAAGGACTTCATAGAAATTTTTCTTCGCTAACAATTTTACATTTAGTTTGACACTGTTTACAAATGCGCCCGGTAACAGACAGCTGATAACTTCTTTTGCGGACGTTTCTCCTGAGGAACACAAGAGAAGTATCTACAAAAGAAGAATTGGCAGTAGAAGTATTGTTTCAGCAACAGAAAAGTTGTTGATAGAAGTACAATATTTATGGCAGAAGAAAAGTTATCAATCTTTGCATCTTTTTCAGATATAGTTAGAATTTCTATTTACACTCTATTTATACGAACAAATTCATACTTAAATTGTTAGATCCAAATATTCAAACTGATAGTTGAGCCTATTATCGTAACTACGGCGCCATAGTTCGGATAATAGGAGCTCGACGTGCTCAACTCCTGTTTTCTGAACGTCAGCTTCTATTATCAGAACTAACAAGTATTGGTAGAGAAGAGAATTAGAGTAAACCTCTGTTATCTGAACCATTCGATTTTCGAAATTGTCTTGTTCTCCGACAAACGGAATAATTTTACTGTACAGGGTGGAAACAAACCTATCTATAGTACAAATGGATGAAAGGAAGGGATTTATTTCTCGTACAAAAATAAATTGAAAGTATAGAGTAAGTATTTTTCTGTCCGAGGTTTTAATTTGAGAAAATCAAGTTTGTAAATAGTGTTGAGTACACGTGCATTTAATGAAGATACGGTTTGGAGAAGGATACTGTAAAATAAATCAGACTCTATGATACCTCCGTAACTTGACGAACACAACTTTACGTACGATAGCAGGGTTAACGTTTTCAATAATTTCTCTTATAATAAAATAAATAAAATTTAATTATTTGTAGTACATTTTCTTTAATTCTGTCACTTGTCAAGTTGGGCGAACGTTATATAAATATGATAACGTTTCCATAAATCGTATCTTTATTAAGTGCACGAATATTCAACACGATTTTCAAATTCAATTTTTTCAAAAGTAAACTCTTGAAAAAGGTTTACTCTAACTTATATTTTTTAATTTATTTATCTACAAATTATCTTTCGTCGTATTGTGTATTCTATATATTTATTCTCATCCTGTATATATTATATTTGTTTAATTAAAAAAAAAAGATATCTGTCCTGTACGCGCGAATATATACTTAAAGTACTATTTTTTAATCATATTTAATTAAAATGCAATTTTTTTAATTCACATAAGTATATTACTTTGCCTCGAACTTGAACAAAACAATTACGAGTCGCTCTAGCATTACTCTTTTATTCAGATTTGTCAAACTCAATAGACGTTAGATATACTTGTTTCCCCAATTATTGACTCCTATACAAAATACATAATTGATAATATCTTTATCGCAAATATATTTTGTTTAATTTTTTTAAATATTTTACTGTATGTATGAGAAGTTGTATCTCCTTCCGCGTAGTCCTCATTTTGCAGGCCGACTTTATATACGTTCACATCCCGGTGGAACGGTTGCCTTCTCAGATTACTGCTACCCTGCACCGTAATATGCATAGATAATGATATCCGTGTTACTTTAGCAATTCTACCGTGCCGTGCTCGAAAATACAGGGTTGATACTTCTTCGAGTATCTCGTGACACGCAGAGGGTCGATCGATAAATATAATATGATAACTTTTTCATACAGCGTGGACCACGCTTGAGTGCTTGTTTTGCATTGACTCAAGTAGAGCTTCTCAAACCATCGTTGCAGGGTGTGGACGAACTCGTGTTATCCATTTACACGGTTCATGGATATGCATGTAAAGCAACTTGATTAAAATTTAAGTCGATTGGAAGGAAATATCCTTTATGTTTGATGAGAGAGACACTATGCTGTGCTTGCTCGTTACGAGAATTCTCAATTTGCGAAAACAGATTCAAGGCAAGTCTATGTATAACTTAGTAAACGTTCAATAAAAACAAGGTGTTATGTTACAAAAACAAAGTGCAGCTTACTGCAATACTAATGTTGCTTATAAGAACACATTATATTGTTTAATTAAAATCATAACGTCAGAACGAAGATAATTCTCTTTTTATAGTTTTTTGAACACTGAGCAGAATAAACCATTCCGTTTACCAAACTGCTTTTTAATATCATTTTTAAGAAATTTATATTTAAACTTACAAAAAGATCTATTTTAACACATTTCAGCATACTACAAGTTATAAACTAGTGTTTAAAAAGTTTTAAAATTAAGCTTTACTGTATTCCTCGCATTCATGACACAATTACTCGCAGAAAATGTTTCCGACATTTTAATATTATACCTCAATTTTCATTGTTATATATATTTTAATTTTCACAATTAAATTAAAGATTAATTTAATATTACACAATTTTGAGATAAAAAAACCATACAGATATTTAAAAATTGTCGGACAAAATATAATATGTATAAATTATAGAGGTAGGAGCACACGCGCGTATTTGAAATATTTTTATTTTAAACACACACACAATATATTTGTAATATAATTATATTTTGTACTTCGTGTTTCAGCAGAGTACATAAAAGTATTTTGTATTTTATAATTTAAATAATAAGATTGATTGTCAGTCTTAGCATTTGATATAAAAATGAAATATACTTTTCAACTTTTCATTTTAAAATACTGAAATACAAAATACAAACTACTTTTATATACTACATTAAAAAACAAAACATAAAATATTTTCTTATGTTCTCCGCTGAAACACAAAATGCAAAATACAATTGCATTATAAATACTGTTTTTCAAATACAATGAAGTATTTTAAATACATGACCTGACAAATTATAAATACTTAAATAGTATCATACATTTAGAGAATTTCTAAGGATGAAGTATTAATTTTTGACATGCGAGCAATGAAGAATTAAACATGTCATAAAGCTTTTCCTTGATGCAGTTCTAAGAGGATTTCAGAGTAATTTGATAAACACACACACGCGCGCGCGATCGCATTCAGCATCCAAAAAACTAAGGGAAACGATTTTTTCTCGTTTTTATACTTGAAAAAAAGCCATTTTTTGTAGGATAGTGTTATAGTAGTTCATATATTGTAATTTTACAATAATACTTAGCATGAAAAAGATATGCACGTGGCGTTATTATCTTTCGTGACATGTTCCTCTCCGGGGAAAGATATTTTATATGCCTTGCTTCGTATTTCATCACCCATATCACTTTACGGAACCAGCTAAGTTCGGAACCTCGCACCCTCTTTTTCACATAGATTATGCCGATAAGATATAAATATAAAATGTCAACATTAATTACATGAAATAACGAGAGAAATTTTATGAGAACTTATCAATTGTTTGGTAGCTTATCTATATATAAATTTTATAATTCTTTCTTTATCTATGGAATACAACAATTTGCTATTATTTCTATATCCAACAAAATTTTAATCCAGGTTTAAAAATATATAAAACTGTATATAAAAACAGAGAATTATATTATAAATAAAGAGTTATACATAAAAAATAAAAGAGAATACTAAAAAATTAACAAAACTATAACATATGTGTGCGAAATTTTTTTTTACTGTTTTTCAAATCGTTAAAGAATATTATGAAATTCTACGATATTCCGTTTTTCTCACACGTGACTGCAGAAAAACCATAATTTCGTTTCCACGCAAAATTCCTGGAATGTGCACTTTATGCATTTTTCCAGGCCACATGCGGTCGAACGTTCTATTTTTCTTTATATTACGGTTCTCCGCTTAAATAACATTTTTGAGCGGGGCACACGAACCAAGTCTAACTCAGCTTTCTTTTTCTTGGATATTGATTCTAGCTTCAACAAATTGTTGCTACAAAAAGAGGAGCTCGAGCAGAAGCACCTGCACCTGTTGCAAATCGTTGAGAGCGAGAAAACGGCCAAGTGGCAGTACACTCAGCAATGCGAAGAATTGGCGTCGGAAATAAAAAAACTCCGAGCAGAGGTTAGTCATATCAGCATGTTTTATACACATATACGTATTATATTACGTATTATATGTATAGCCTAGTCTTTTTACAAGTGAAGTTATACGTATTTTATGATAACTTTTCCGGATAATTTTGTTGCAATGTGTACTTTTATTTCAACTTCTGTAGTGTTTTTTGTGATATTATACTATGTAATTAGTAAAATCATTTCTTTCCAAGAATTGACGTTTTTTTTAATCAAATCGTCAATTCTTGGAAAGTCTCCTGTACGCCGAACGAGAAATTTTGTACACACTTTGCTTCTATATTTTACTAATATTAATACTTTAAAAATTTTTATCATAGCGCACGCAGATAAAATTTTCTTTTGGAAAATAATTAAAACTATTAGTTTTATTACTATATTATATATGTAATTATTTTTTAAATTTAATTATCTTCGCATTACACTATCACACAAATTAATTAAATTGTCTGTTATACATTTCGCTTTCGATTTAATTTTATATGAAATGTTTCTACATGAAAAAAATTATTTTGTTGAAGTAGTTAAAAATTGAGCCAAATATAGGTCTGAAAATAATTTGTTGGATTATAAAAAAAATTAAAAAATATGTATATATGTAATATGTTTAAATATAATAAGCAATGCTACAAAAAATATTGACATTCTGACAATCAGCATGAACGTAATTATATTTTGACAGATTTAACATTATTTGAATTCTGATCTATATATCTCGTTAAATTTTTAAATATCTCAGCAATTTTTAAACTTCAACCATTCTCTCTGTGATAATAAATATCGAAGTAACTTCCGGAGCACTTTTGAAATTAAAATTTAACTTTACGTTTTAACTCGAAAAGCGTCACTAGTTTTAACCCCTTCATTAATTTCATCTGATGTCTAAGTTTAGTAATTAAGCTTAGTAATTAATATAAAACTAATGAAATTATTATGTTGTAGGAGAACTGATAATATATTTTATTCAAGTACTTGTTCGATATTGAATCTAAATTTTGATTAAGCATCCCAATTTGGTTTATTTTTATTTTATTAAAAAAATTACGTTCATTATAAAATCGTTAAAAACGATTTACTTAAGAAACACGAGAAGATGTTTGCTTGGGATTATTTTCTCTACAAGATTACGGATTTCGCGATGGTTCTCATTACAGCTGTGTGCTCTGAAAAAAGAGCTAAGGCCTTCCGTAATACCGATATATGCCAATCGACCGGCGGTTCAAAGAGCTATGTCCCAGGGTACCGCAAGTTTGTACAGCACGTTCCATTCATACGGTGGTGGTGCTCACAGTTCCGGCGTCTTCGCTCCTGGATTACGTGATATCTCGGAGGGCTCTATTGAAATGCAGAAAGTTAAGAAGGTCCAGAGCTTTTTCAGAGGTTGGCTGTGCCGACGACGTTGGAAGCAAATTGTTGAACAGTACATTAAGAGCCCGCACGCCGAGAGCATGCGCAAGCGGAATAGGTAATTGCTGCTGCCTTACCGGACAACCGATAGCGTTCAACTAGTTTGCGCACTTCACTTTTTCAGTAATATAGTTTGTCATGCCACCGCGCGTTTCACAGTTACGTTTTGCACGGCTGTATGGAAATAAACGTCATAAACATGAGATTGAACAGAATTTTCGAGAAAAGGCTAAAAAATGTTGAGCAGCGTAGATTTTTTATTAAATAAAATTTTATGCTCTGACTGTTACATATAATAACTTTAGTAATAACGTATATATTATTTTTATTCAACGGCTGAATAAAATTTATCATTATTCTCTCGTCCGCCGAGAGAATAATGATAAATAATTTTCACTTAATCACATCGTTCGTATATTTTATTTATTTGCGATGTAACGATGATGTAAAACCGATGATTATCGGCTTTATTTAATTTGCGCTACCGATGGTATTGAACGCATGTCCTACTATTTCAGCCTGGTATTCCAAATGGTGGAGGCCGAGGAGGAGTATACGGAGCAGATGGAGATTTTAGTAAGCTGTTTTCTGAGGCCTTTCAAGATGGCTGCCAGTTCAAAGAAACCCCCATGTAGTCACGAGGACGTGAATAGCATATTTTTGAATAGTGAAACCGTGTTGTTTCTCCATCAAATCTTCCTGAAGGGTCTCACCTCGCGTATGGAGAGCTGGCCCACTTTAGTTTTAGGTATAGACTATTTAAAATTACTTTAGTAATGCAAATCGATAAATTGAATGACAAGTAGAAATGTGCGATTTGTAATATATCATAAACACTGAATTTATTTCGAATTTTTAATCACAAAATTGCATACAAAATTTAAATCTCATGAGATTAAGTTTGCATGCAATTTAAAATTGTAAATGCAGCTGAAAATCATTCTTGTAATATTTATTCATTAAATTTATACATGTAGGAAAAATGAAATACATTGATGTTATCCCTTTTTATTAATTATTTTATTACATAATTTAAATATTACAAGGAAAGAATAGTTTTGCTGAAGTATTTAAAAATTTAGCTATAGATACAAACCTGAAAATAATTTTGTTGAATTAAAATAATTATAAATGCTTAAAAGCATTGTCGACAATATTACAAAAGATTTTGAAATTTTAGACAACACTTTGAGCGTTAATTACATAATTAATAATTATTTTGATGATCCAAACAAAATTATTTTTACATTTATATCTAAATTTTTAGATATGTACTTTAGTAACATCTTTTCTTTTTTGTACAAATATTATGAACGTACTTTTGCTTTCGATTATTAAATGTTTTAATTTTTAATGTTAGATATTGTTCAATTATATATATATAATTTGTTTAAAGTTTTTTTTTATTATTAATTCGTGAAATTTTTATATGTGATATTTAATATAGTAGTAGAATTGAAAAAATAAACTTAAAATTATTATAAACATGCATAAGTTCTTATTACGGCAAAATATGGAAGAAACATATGCTATTTTTTCATATTGTGACTAAATATTTGTATATGCTTATACATATAATTTAATATTTAAAATATAAAAGATAAATATTTCGATACAATATATATATATATATATATATATACACACGCAAATTATGTTATATGTTATATTCAAAAATCGTAATTGCAAAGTTTCGTAAATCTCCTTATAATAACAAATCCACGTCTAACGGTGAATCGAAGAGACCAAAATTTTGTGATTTTAAGTATCTTTAAATTTTTCCCTCTACCGATCTTATTATAATTTATGCATGTCTATTATCTTATGTGAGAAAGAATAATGTGAATAGAGATTGTACACCGATCAATCACGGCGTATTGTGAATTCACGCAGGTGACTTGTTCGACATGCTGCTACCGATGTTATCCATATATCAAGAGTACGTGCGAAACCACCACTATAGCCTTCAAGTGTTGACTGAGTGCAAGCAATCGTCACCGTTCGTGGCGTTGCTCAATAGGTTGGAGAACAAGACTGCCTGCCACGGACGATCCCTGGAGATCTTTCTAACATATCCCATGCATCAGGTAAGATTGCCACATATAGATAAAATCGATACAATTGTCGTGCGTGAAGCATGTATAGAAGCTCGACACAAGTGTTTCGGAAAATTCAATAGTATCGCTTTATATTATTATGAAGGGAGGAGAAGGGAATATCACCAATAAATGTTTCATTCGCGCAACATTAATTTCCTTTTGCTGTTCTTCTCTCAAGAGAGCTAATTCCCGCAAAAAAAGAAAATAAAGAAATGAAATGATTATCTTGATGGTATAAATGCCTCTTTGGAAATGATCGATTGTATGAAATAGTTTGAAAGCTTCCATGAATATTGCATGAGACCTGACGATCTTATAAAATGAATGAAGTCGACGGACGTGGAGAATATATACATTCCATCGAGCGCTTCCGCGAATTCCGCGGAACGCGAGAAATTTCTTCAAAGAAAATTTATATATATATATATTAGCGAAATATAATTTACATTTCATTTAAATATAACAAGATCTGTTTGTTGTTGCAATTTATATTAGACTACTAATTAATTTCTGATTTGCATGTATTTCTGTTTTCAAATATTGCAATTTGAAACTTACTTAACAAGTTTTACGTGACAATTACTTTCCTAACTACTCTTCTTTTTTTTTCTCTGATTTTAATAGAACTTGAGCAGGAGCTCTTTTTCTTAATCCAGCTATTTATTTTATTCGTTTAGATTCCAAGATATATAATTACTTTGCACGAGTTATTGGCACATACGCCATATGATCATGTGGAACGTAAGAGCCTTCAGAATGCCAGGCAACAGCTGGAGGATCTCTCGAGGCAAATGCATGATGAGGTAATTGTCAATTAACCTCATATAATCATGATATTTTATCTTGATTTTAAATATTAATCGAATATATTTATTTATTATTGTTAATCGTACATGTGTTATTCTTAAGGTGAGCGAAACTGAAAATCTAAGAAAAAATCTAGCAGTGGAGCGTATGATTGTCGAAGGATGCGATATTTTACTGGACGTCAATCAAGTCTTTGTTAGACAGGGTGAGTGCATCTCTCTCTCAATGCCCTATCTCGTATAAAATTTTGTTATTTAATTTAAATATTTAGGTTCGTATCTGTTTAAGTAAAGATTATTTCAAGTATATCCAGATACCACAATTATATTTTAGAAATGTTCTATAAATATTTTCTGAGAATTTTGAAATATTCTCAAAAAATTTGTACAAAGTATATGGAATATTATAAGAAGTAAGACTATTTTCATAGTTTCTAGAAAAGCCCATCAAATATTCCATCAAATTATTATAGGATATTCTGAAAAATATTTAATAATTTCATAGAATTATAAATATTTTATAATGACTTTTTAATAGAATTACAAAAAGAGTCCCGGTTAAATATGTTACATTCTTCGAACACACTTGTACGTATCTTTTGAGAATATATCAAATTGGAAAATATTTATAGAACATTTTTGAAACGCACTTGTGCTATCTAGATAAGAATTAAAATATTGTGTAATATTAAAATGTTGTAACAAATTTGCGCAAAAGTTAGAATTATTTCGCGTTCTAATGATAATACATATTATCGTTTTTCGTTCTAATCATCTTTAAATAGAATTTAACAAATTATACCCATAATTATTATGCAGAAATTATTGTGTTTCGTTCAAGTACATTTAAAAGATCATTTTTTGCTTACCAAAAGAAGTTGAAGAATGAAAAAGAGAGAGTTAACTTTGTCGAGGTCGATAAGATTAAGGGTGCCAGATAATTTGCATATCTTTTACTGCTTATCCTTGGCTGGGAAACTCATTCGTAGACTTGATCGCTGTCGGTAAAGCTCAACGGGCTTCTCCGTCGTAAGGGATGGAACGCGGGTCAAAGGGCGCAATCGCATAGTTACACGTTCGAAATCGATGACGCGACTTGGTCGCGTCGATATATATTTTCGTACTGAGTTTCATCTCGATCCTGCGCAATGTGTCCTGCCAGGGACGACGTACTGTTCTACAATTAGCGGGTTCTCGTCAGGTGAATAATTCTTATGTTAATCAATTATATGGCTCGATAGCGAATTACGATATAGTGGCACGCAAGCGGAATGTCACGTGGTCAGAGAAATGTAACTCCATCAGTCATTTTAAATTCGATCGCAACAAAAAGACTTCCTTGATGCTTAATCGCGATTTTAAGTACAAAAGAATATGTATACAAAATTCAATACAATGCAGTTTAAGTCTTAAAAATATCGTTAAAAAAGAGGGAGAGAGAGAAAATATTAAATAATGACCTGAGTATCGAAAGAAGACTCTTAAAATTGAAGTTAAAATTATATTTGCAAAGAATTGTGCACATATTAAAAAATTAATATTATTTGTAATAAAACAAAGAAATACTATAAATTAAAAACTAAAGCTGAAACATTGCATTTTGCAATGAAATATTGCATACTTTCTAAAAATAGCTAATAATAAAGGGTAGTATATAAAATCATTTCAAGTAGTAGAAGTCTCACAAGCCAGCCTTATAAACACGATCCTGGCAATCCTCGTGCTTGACGCCACATCACATGGTTATCACGTCTCTCGCGCTCTCGCTGACGGCAGAGCTAAGACCATCTCGTGAACGCGATCATCCCTCGTTCGTTTTTCGTCGCGACAAACAAATTAGCCGGTGCAAACATCACATTTCGTTCGAGGGTGACCAGGACTAAAATTTGTTCAAAACCTGTTTCTGTGCGGGGCAATATTCGGCAATATTGCGGAACTGAAGGTCGACGAACGAGCGAAAGAACGAAACAAGCGGCAACCAATCCATGCGGCATTGCCATTTTGTCGGTCCATTAATCTGGCGTGGCTACACATAGATTACGGGTATTTCGCGAGTTCGTTAACGTAGCTTCATTAGTAACAAGGTGGGACCAAGCGATGTGTGTGATATTGGTAGGGACCAAGGAAGCTTAAGAATCAGCAGTAGCTTTTTATCTGAATGTGGATAGATCTGCAGGTATATACACACGTTGCTTTTCGTTCAATAATGTTGAAAGGAAATCTCGATTGAAATCTTCAAAACATGAATGACAAATTCGCCGTGAGAAAGGTAGATGTGTCAAATGATATAAGATATGAAATTATTTTCTTCAAGGAAAAGTTCAGTCAAAAGTTTCAATTTCGTGTGTGTTTGATTTATCTGTAGAAACATAAGTATGCAATGTTTCTTTTTAAATAAGAAGAAAAAGTACGTTGAAACTGTCTTCTAAATTCCTTATCGACACTTGTTTGATATCATCTGGCTTTCTTCACTTGGAAAAAAATCAATCTAATAAAAGTGTTTAGATTTTGATTTATAATTTCAAAAGCATATTTCACATTATTAGGATTATTTAGAGAGAGAGAGAGAGAGAGGGTACGTGTGTTTTATTTTATATACACTTACAATGCTCGTCAATATTAATTGTTTTTGTTTAACATTTGGTAAACAACAAGGGTAAAATGATTCCATGAGCATTGTGAACGTCAAATAAAAAATACTTTTAATATCAAGAACTGAACGAAATAAATTTCAATTTCTGTATGACGTCAGCAGCGCAGGCCTGATACTGCGTATTTCGTATTCGCCGCGGCAACACGTCCTACGTGCTATTTTTAAATACGTATCGGCAGTTTCCCCTAATTGTATCGATTATTTCAAGGAAGCTTGGACACGTCAGGAAGATGAAATTATTTTTGTCAAGCGTTATTTCCTCCGACGAAAATTTTATTTCTCCTTACAATCGATGTTAATGATAATTGTATAAAGACCTGATCGAATTTACATAAATCTCTGATCTAATTATCTCACTGTTTTAGGTACACTCATACAACTCGTAGATAAACCGCGCGGTGCGCGAAGCAGATTGAGCGCTACTTTTGGCGGCAAAGCCGCGAGCGACAAGGAGGCTGTTAGACAATGTTTTCTTTTCTCGAATCATCTATTGCTCACGACGCGACAATCCGATGATGACGGCCGCTTAAATCTGGTCGCGCAGATTGGCAAGATACCTCTATCTGACGCGGTGCTGATTGAAGATCCAAGTGACCAGGGCGCCATAGATGATGATGGTAGGATTAATTAATGAACTAATAACTTGATTTCTTAGCTTCCTTTTTTTTTAAGATCTTCTTAAATCGGCAACGCAAAAATTTTATATTTAATTAGAAACTGATATATTATACGTCATCGATGTATTAAGATTATAAAAAAAAAAACATACACGCTAGTAATTATTTAAATTATTTTATATACAATGTAAGCTTTTTTCTCATTTTGTTTGCTATTTATATGCACATAATTTTATGTATTTTTTAAAATTAAAGGTTGTGTATTGCCAGTTGTGTCAAATAGAAAATTTATTCAGTGCTACCAAGTAGCGACTGTAAACTAATTTTAGGACTGTCAGTATGTTCGATGTCAAGCGGCATCAGTGAAAGTAGCGGAAGTGGTAGCGGCAGTGGAACTTCCCAGTTGCAGAATCGCGACTTCAAGATTATACTTGATATAAAATCCGGTGGACCGCAGGTGACCGTTCATCTCGTGGCGCCTACCATGCAAGTAAGTTCATATTAAATTGTATATAAAATTGTATTAAAACAGACAATCTTATCTTCATAGGATATATATTCATATACGGAAAGAACTGTTCTGTTGAAGTATATATGTATATATACGTATATATATATATATATATATATATATATATATATATATATAATTTATTTATAGACACGGAACTTTGAAAATAATTTGAGTTGGTAATTAATGCGTTACTTGTAATGTCGTTACTGTTACAATTATTTTTTTTAATGACGCATGTAAAGACGGTGTTATACTTTCTTATTTGTAACATTAACGCAATTACATTTCTTTGCGTAATAGTAACAAATATAACATGTACAATATACTTGTATAGAATGTGCTTAAGTAAATTTCAAAAGAAGAACATATTATATTTTTGACCATGTTGTGAGTAATCATACTATCACAACTATAATACTGTATGTATAAATCTCGTGTTGAATTAATCAATTACTGTAGTGATCAACACAATTAAATGCCACTAAAAAAGAGGTATTTGAAAATCAGTGAAAAGTAACAGAAAATTGTAACAACTCATTACTTTTTTTAACTGAAATGATTTACAAATAAAAATAATAAAATTACAAAATTTATACTTTTTTACTTTTGTTATTATATATATATTGTGATATGGCAAACTTTTACAGGAAAAAGCAGCATGGGTTAGTGATATTAGTCAGTGTATGGACAACGTTCATTTTAACGATCTGCTTCACGGATCGTTGTCGGATACCAGTTCCGTCACGATGCCACAGTCCATCCGGAACGACCCGAAGCTGTTCAAGGACGACGTGGACATCAGATTCAGTCGCACTTTGAATTCCTGCAAAATACCGCAGATCCGTTCCGCGACACCCGAGCGGCTATTGCAGCGATTGACCGACCTCAGATTTCTCAGTATCGATTTTCTCAACACATTTCTGTTGACATACCGAGTGTTCACCGATGGCGTCACAGTACTGGAGGCTCTTAAGAAAGTTTTCTATGAAGCTGAACCACCGGACGCGCAAATGACTACCGGATCTCTCGTGTAAATATAACAAATGATAATAATAATTATAAGCTTAAAATAAATTTAACTATATAACTTCAAGAATTGAATGAAATTGTCGTAATTGTCGATCTATTATAAAACTCGATAATACAACCTTAGCTATAAGTATAGAACATTCCCACAAATTGAACGTTTAAACAACAACAAATAAATATTTTATATTTAACAAAAAATCAATTAAAAATAGTTTTTTATTGAAAAGTTTATTTTTATAACAATTTTAATATTTTGTCATTCTTCCTTTGACTTTTATTACCGTCTTATCCAATAAATGAAAGATGCTACATACTTACGGCTAAGGCTGTATTTTATACTACACGTAATAAAAAGTTTTTTCATGAATAATGTTATTATTGCTGTAACATTCCTCTGTAGAAAATGATTTCTATACATTATTGAAACTTATTCTTAGCATGTCTTTATAACATTGTCTGTATTTATTTTTTAGATCCTTAGACGTATTAGGAACAAATGCGAACGAAATACAATTATATTCCGAGGATCGAAGAAAAAGTAGCTTTTCACCGAGACGAACTAGCGGCGCAAGCTCAGTATCAGGTGCATACATTAATAAAAGTGATGGAGAGATAAAAAGCGAGCAAATAATTAAGACAAGAAATAAAAACTAGTTTATTAAACATCAGAATTAAAAAAAGAAAAGATTAAAACTAGTTTTTTAAACAAATAATTAATGCACGAATGTTTCGACTTAAATTATTGTTATTCTTTTTGAAATAATAATTAATAAATTGTAATATATAGAAAATGAATCTATTTTATTAATTCTAAGGTAAACTAAATTAATCGAAACTTACATCGATTATGTATTTGTTAAAAAACTAGTTTAATGTTTTCTTTTTCTGATTTTAATGTTTAATAAACTATTTTTTATTTTTTGACTTAATTGTTTGTTCGTTTCTAAATCCTTTATCGCTTTTATTACAATAGATTGCTTAGTTAACAATTACAAGCTTGATATTATTGTGCATATGCATTGAGTTTCCTTTTGAACAAAACTCAATCAAAATTAATAGACATATTACTATAGTGCAGAAAATATATAAATATGTATATGATATACATATATTTATATATACAATATATATATATTTTATATTGGTGTGGTGTTTAATATTTTAATAGCATCTTGCTTTATATGCAGGATATGGATCAGAAGTGAGCGATACTCGCGATGCGAAATCCCATGGATCCTTTGATGCTAATACCAGCGTGTATAATTCGAAAAGTCACTGGCGATCTGGTTATAAGAAGCGTGAGTATCTTTAGCACATATTCCAATGAGAAATGAAGTAAGATTTTAAGAAAAATATTACCTCGGTCAGAAATTGAATCTGGATCTCTTGCATCCCATACGAGGTAAATTAGTCTATCGATGAGAATGCACACGCGGAATACAAGAGATCCAGGTTTGATCCCCAGCTGAGGTAATATTTTTTTCGCGCAATAAGATTTTACAGATACCAAACGGTTTATGAGTTTAACAAATAATAGAATCTTATTTTTACGACCGTACAATTGTTAAACAATAACAAGAAAGAAGTTTATAAGTTTAGTTCTTTACAGGTTTTAAGATAATTTAAATTTGGTGAAAAGATTACGAATATTTTAAATTGATTGTGTTGAAAGTCCGAAAGTAATCGGTGCGCAATCATATTTCCGATATAAAATTCATTTAATTATAGTTTATTTAAATTTTATAAAAAAATTAATCTATATAAAAAAAAGTTAGTTTGTAGTTAGAAAAAAGATTCTTTTATTAGATGTAAGCTTATGTAATAATATCTATAGCTTTAATTGAATGACGCTCTCTCACATTTAGATAATAAAATTAAATTCTACAATAAAGATGTTTAAGTTACATTAAAAAAATAAATGCGTAAAAACGATGTAAAAATGTACCAAAATGCAATTATGAATTTCTCGTATTTAGTGGACGAAGAACAACCACTTGGACTCATCTCGGAGGCTCCAGTCATAAAACGCATACCAACGTCGCAAGCGTCCAGTCCGTCTAACTCGTTGCAATCTCCGGCCATGCCACGAAAAATTAGCATTCGCGTGGATAACAATGACGTTGAAAATGATGGATGCCATCTAACAATACCGAAAGTAATAGCCGTGTCGTCCAGTTCCGAAACACTCACAGGTATGACCATGATGCATAAATTCACAAATTATGTTACAGAATTTGAATTAAATGTTAATAAAGTAAATAAATTAATAAAAAATATAAAGTTATTGTTTTTAAATGTAATATACACAGATTTTAATTATAATATTTAGAGATAAAAAAAAGAGGATTCCTTTATTTCAATATTTTTATATTATTTATTCTAAAAGAAATTATATGACTAATTAGGATGAGATTTTAAGCCAAATTAATTTGGAACTTTTCACGTATATTCCATTTCCTATTTGATAAATTTGTAATGTACTACTCATATGTGAAAAAAACTTGAAATCTAAGATGTTACAGCAATCAGTGCACCATCTTCACCAAGCAATTTGAGTTCTGTGACACTAGTTGGTTCAACGGAATCTGGATCCGGATCCGGATCTGGATCAGATCCAAGTCCTCAAGAGGGAGGTACTTATTCACGTCGTGTCTCGGAAATTGATACACCTGGTACTGCAGAAGAGGATGCAAAAGGTACAATTTTTAAAAAAAATTAATTTATATATAAAAAAAGGTAGTTTGTATAAAAAAGAATTCATTAATTAAATATAAGCTTATGTAATATGATTTGATTATGCTACCTATTTCTTGTTTTTTAAATTAAATTATTGTACAAGGTGTATCAATAATTGTTACCATTAAATATTTTCAAATCTAAAGGTATTCAGAGGAAATTTGTTTAATAAGGATTGCACGGTACAAAAAATTTATCTCAAATAAGGTTAATAATTTTTGTTTAGGTGAAAGTGCTTCCGAAATTTTAAGTTTCGTTTTTTAAATTATATGATTTTTTGGCGTAGTATAATTTCTTCAATTATTCTACATATTAAAATATTAAGTTAGAGATAAAAACCAAAAGTTCACAAGACACTTTGTTCTAGCCTTTATATTGACATAAAATATTAAATCTCACATAAATTAATTATTTTTTAAATAATTGAATTTTAATACTTTTATAAACAGATGCATCAATTGATGGAAAGAAAACACATAATTGCTTTAAAAAAATATATATATATATTATATATAAGTAAAGTAGATAATTTTATAAATTTTGTGTTTTATTCATCAGTTGATTCATCTTATTAATCTGTTTAAAATACTAAGGTACAATTATTGGAAAATGAATAGGTTACGAGATATTTAATATTTTATGTCAATATATGTTAGAATAAAATATAAAATATCTCGTAAATACTACTAATCTTTTGATATCTCTAACTTAATACTTTTATATGCAGGATAATCTTATTATGTGAAAAAATCATATAATTCCATTTAGAAAAACGAATTTGATCTTAAAATTTCCGAAGTGCCTCCACCTTCCTATAGGATCAGCAAATTATTATCGCTATGATAGCTCTGTTTATATCGCAAAATTAAAACAATTTTTTCTCTAAACCTTGTAGATTTGAAGACATTAAAGAAATAGTTATTGAAACATCCTATATAATACATATTACGAAATAAATTATAGTACAATTTACTTATGACGACATACCACAACCATCGCTATCAGCCAAGCCTGCCAAGCCGGATACACCAAAATCAACAAAAACACCGGATACTCCGCGGACACCTAAAACACCCGACGTACCTAAAACGCCGAAAACACCTATCTCCCCTCTAATAAAAGAAAATAAAGATGAGCAAAGTACGTCGACCGACGATGAAGAGAGTATAACTTCTCCAAAACCAAACAATCAATCAATACAGCAAAATCAACAGCAATATTCGGAGCATAGAGCATCAATCGCTTCTGCGCCAGCAGCCACCGGACCAAGAAGCGGATCGGTTTCTACTATAACTGGCGTATGTATGAATAATAAAATATTAAAATTTTTTAAATTAAAGTAATAGAAAATAAAATATTTTTTTATTTATTACATATTTATGAATTTCCGAGATGATAATTTATATAATAATCGAATATAATCGTGCGTATTTAGGCATGAGAATGGTTTAAAACCTGCTAAATTTTTAAATTAATTTTTTTACTTTTAATTATAAGAAAATATAACTTTACTTTTAACTCTAAGTAATTTTTTGTTGTCATATAAAATATTTTTTCTCCCTATTACAAACGTAAGTAATTTTTGAGCTGAGAAACAAAATATGTGCTGTATAAGTACCTCATTTATAATCATATACTTCGGTTTTTATAACTTGTATTTTGCTTATGTTTGCTTCAGGAAAAAAAGTTATTATGTATAATATTTTTCCCGTTTAAAACCAAGAATTAGAAAATATTCTATCTTTAAAATATTTTTAAAAAATGTATTAAAGCAAGAGATTGTTGTTTATATGGTAACAAAATTGATAAATTCCTTCCTTTTAAGGTAGTTCTTCACAGACTCCCTAGTCAACTGAATGCTGAGAATAAAAATTGCGAAATTCTCAATCGAATTGTATATATGGCGTTCATTAAATATATTTATAAATTTTAAGGTCTTTGTTGATAATATTTGCATTGAAATAATAAAGTTTTAATAATATTAATATTACGGATGACATGAAAGAGGTTATGAAGTCGTACATTTTTGCTGTTTCTACAATAAATATCTCGAAAATTTGTTCGGCTACCTCCACTTTTATTTTGACCGTTAAAGAGTACGAATCTTTAACTTTCATCTATTACTTTTTCATTATCAACTGCAGTTTTTTACTATACTAATTTGTAAATAATAGTGCTTGAAACTGTACGATACCCTCTATGTCTCCGTGTATAAGAAGCCAATTTCAACGAATTTTTTCTCAAAAATGAGTTCGGCAATCGGGGTTTAAAAAAATTGTGGCATATAGTTCGAGATCCAGAGAACCTCATATATTTTTCTTATTTTTTTCTACAGTAATTCATTTTTGTGAAGAACTACCTTAAAAAAATTATAGATTTTAATTTCTTTCGATAAATTTGCAGAATTATTGGGTAAACAGACGATCAATGCATGATGAGATCTCCTCACAACAGAGCAGCTATCACGATGCTCAAGTTTCCAGTAAGGCAGGTGTAGTAATAACCAGCTTTCGACAGAGTCATCGGAGGTTCGTTTTGCAGCTTTATTATATGCATTCTATCGTGTCTCTAAAACTTTCGAAGATATTCGTATCGATGAAAATTATCTCTATTTCGTTCTTGTTGAATGTTAAGTACCGTAAATGGCAGTCTGCGCCTTCTAACGCATGAGAGCTTTTTCTCGATATCATATATTTCATTTATCAGAATTATAATTAAAATCATTCTTTAAGGGAGAAATTGATAAGGAGAGAATTTTTTATAGAGAATTTATAATAGTATAGATATTGCTCGGCGTTTTCTGACAATTTAGTCCGTAAGATAGTAAATAACTTAGAATTAACATATAATTTTCCCCATTCTGCAAAAATTTATGTTTCAAAATCAAATTGCCAACATTTGCAATATTGATGTAAACATTTATGTTTCGATATAATGCAAAATTTCTGATTATATTCGAATTGTGTTTATTATTATATAAAAGAATTGTAAATATATTGTAAATATGTCAAGTTTTTTATGCCTGTATTATAAAAACCGAAAATTTTATTATATAAATAATTTAGGACTTATTTTAATGCAATATATGCTTTTTAAACTTGTAAATATCTTAATATTTTTATTTCCTTTATAATCGATAAATAAAATTGCTTATAGTAATTATAATTCAAAAAATTATCACCCAAGATTTTGTTCCACTTTGCTCGATAAAATATATTTTTATACATCGTCTTGAAGATCGAATTAAATGAGAACCCTTATATCAAGAAGATACTCCCGCTGCTGTTTCTACTCAACCGTGTTTCATGTATTGTTTTGTGTCATTCATAGCATTGGACCCGAACCAATATGGTAAGTGAGTTCATTTTGAAAAGCGTCATTTATCCACTTATTGTGTGTAGCATGGCTGCGATCTTCCTGCTTGCAGCATCGTTAAAAATAAAGCCTGAAATGTCTGTCTTGTGCTGTATTCTATTGTTATATGGCTTGTTGGAACAATTAGCTATTGATTCTGAAAATTAATCGTAATGTAATCTTAAATGTATATCTCTTCCCTTGTTACTAACTACGGTTATTCGCTTACACACAATTTAATTCACTCTCTCTCTTCATTGTTTAGAAAATGCACCATAGTAAACGATATAGTGGACCAAACGAAATAGAAATAGTTTTTACCTAATAGCCGCTTGTGCCACTCGCGTGCTTATAGCGCAAGATATTCCAAAAAATGATTAAAACCGGCAATAATTCTTGTGAATCTAGATCTCGATGCTTTTCAGATATATTTTTATTTATTTATTTGTTACATTAACTTATTACATCATATAATATAATTAAGTGTTACTTTTAAGAATAAAATAAAATAATCGAAATTCTTTTTATTTGTATTGCTTCTTTAGCGCAGCTATAACATATTAGATACTTAAATTATTTCGTATTTAACATATTATAGCTATAGCATCAAAACTTGAACTTATTACAATTACGCCAGTTATAATCCTTATTCCAAATAATATGTATTTTATAGTGACACAGTAATAAAATCAACAAATAAAAATATCTACACCGCTGATTTGTCGATATTTAATAAAAACTTTTTGCAAAATCAAGATACACATAAATTATATCTGTTTAAATCATTCGATGCTTATTAGATGATATAATATAGTTAAGTAATATTATTTAAAAAAAAATTAAAAAAACAGACGATCACTTGATCTTTACTTGTGCCGCAATTCCTTCAGCACAGTTACAATGTCAAATACATATTTTATATTTATAGCATCGAAACTTGAACTTATTGAAAATATGCCAGTTACAATACAATCCTTATTCCAAGTATATACTTTGTAGCAACACAATAATAAAAGCAGCAAATAAAAGGTATTCACACCGCTAACTTGTCAATATCTCAAAATTTCTTTTTGTAAAATTAAAATGCACATTAGACTCTATTTGCTTAAATCACGATGCTTAGTATAATATAATACAGTCAAATATTATTTAAAAAAATAGAAAAATAGATAATCACTAAATCTTTCCTTGTGCCGCTCCTTCAGCACAGTAGCATGCTTAAAATATATCGCGAAAAACCTAATCGGCGGGTTAAAACGATAGAAATTCTCTCAACGCAATGTAGAATGAACGCCTAGACAAGTCGAAATAAAAAAATATCGTAATGCAACGACTATAAGACTCCGATTTTTATTTTTACAAATATGATTGTCAATATTATCAATATTAAAATCGGTCTCAAATTCAGGAGCAGCACGTCCACGGCAGCGACCGCATTCGCCATCGCAACTTCCGCTTCGAGCAATCCACCGGACAAAGGACCCGCCACTGACGGTAACAATCGTGGCCGGGATAAAAATAGAAGAAAGGAATCGGTAATGTCAACCGCCGCGACGATGAGAGTGCTGAACGTCTTGAGGCACTGGGTGTCCAAGCACGCCCAGGACTTCGAAATGGATCAAAAATTGAAGAACCTGACCATAGAGTTTTTGGAAGATATCAATTATAGTCCCAATTTGTTACCGGCCGAACACAAGGCGGCTACTCAACTTCTACGATTAATTACCAAGGAAGAAACTGAAAGCAACAAAGTCGACCTGAAGAAATTACTAACTCCGCCCGAAGTAAGTGATGAAATTATCAACTTATTTGGTAGGCTGATTAATACGTTGAATGCTGTATTTAATTTATCTCTTTGATGACGTCAGAATCAAATTTTTGGTAAATATGAAGTTTAGGGGAGCCACACCCATTACTTCTTAAACTTTTTTTGTTTATAACTTTTTAACGAGTGAGGTCCGACGGTTAAAATCGGTTGTTTCTCAAGGTCACTCAGGATCATGGCCTTGACAACATATGTCAAGGTCATTGGGGATGGCTCCCCTAAACTCCATATTTACCATAGTTATATATATATATACACACAATATATATATAATATTTCATCACTGTAATAATACTAATAAAATTTCGTTGGACTAATATTCAACCACAAATTATTTTCAGATTTCGAGTAAGGAGAGTATCGAGACGCTATCCGCACTCGAGATTGCGGAACAGATGACGTATCTAGATCATCATATATTTGTCTCTATTGCCAGCGAGTAAGTAACAGATTATTAAATCATATCACTGCTGTTTACCTACATAGATATTTACTTTACAGAGAATTTCTTGGACAAGCGTGGATGAAAATGGAAAAGGCGACTCGCGCACCTCATATTCTTCTCATGACGAAAAGATTCAACGAAGTGTCGCAGTTAGTTGTTTCGGAAATTATTCGTCGCTCTAACATGTCGGCCAGAGTCGCGGCTATCGAGAAATGGTCCGCGGTTGCTGACATCAATAGGGTTTTGCATAATTACAATGGCGTGCTACAGATTTGCGCTGCGTTCACAAACAGTAGCGTATATAGGCTGAAGAAAACTTGGGATAAAGTTTCCAAAACGGTATGCTACTCGAAAATTCTTGAATGATTTATAAATCCAACTTCGTTCGTAATTCGTTTAGCTCGGCAATCATTTGTGTTAACTTCTCCAACACGTTTTCAAACATCGTACTTATAACACACTAAAACACATTAAATTAATTGCTCTTTTTACAAACCACAATTCTTTCTTCAAAATTGTGTCATAATCGGACAATTTGTAGTCATATTTGTATGGAACTTGGAAAAAACTATGAAACCAATTGTCCTTGAACGAAAAGAATGGTTTTACTGAAGTATCTAAAAAATTAATTAGCGATACAGATCTGAAAATGATTTTGTTAGGTTATCAAAATAATTATGTAAAATAAATAATGTAAAGAAGGGCTGTGGAAGTCAGCATGCATAGTTTTTGTATAGAACGTACCCGTGGAAGCCTCAAGAATATTATTATGTAAAATGTCTAAGCTGCTTGCTAGAATGTCAAAACAGCATATTGTCATGCTTAAGCTATATAATTATTTTGCTCATTCAACCAAATTTTTTTTTCAATATTATTTTAGTTTATTATCCACCAAAATTTTTAGATATTTCAGCAAAATTGTTCTTTCCGTATGTACATAATTTTTTTACTGAACAATGTAACAAGACGTTATAATTAACACACGTTCATATATTCTATGTAACACTCTTATTAATTTCTAGACAAAGCAAACGATAGAGAGATTACAACATATCGTCTCATCCGATGGACGCTTTAGAAATTTGCGGGATGCCTTACATCGATGCGATCCACCTTGTATCCCTTACCTAGGTCTTTATCTCACCGACCTCTCGTTTATCGAAGAAGGTACTCCAAATGTCACCGAAGGTCTTTTAAATTTTTCGAAAATGCGAATGGTGAGCGTCTTCAATTTTACTTAAAATTTATACATTTTTTAAATTTCTTCTTATATATCCTTTAATTTATAAACATATAAATATAGGAGAATCGAAGAATAATTTATCTAAAATCGATTCATCTGAAACCGATATACGTTTAATTAATTATTTTATACTGCATTTTTTGCTTAGAGTAAAAAATATTTTGTATTTGTGTTAAAATCAATTCTTGTTACAATTTGGATGTTACATTTTTAACGTATCACAGAGTGTTAACATAATGTGTTATTTTGTGTTAAATTGATATTCAACATTTATTAGTATTAAAATCACACAATTTACAAGTATAAATAAATAAAAATAATTTAAATGTTTCAAACCGGTAGTTTTAAGATAAATGAATAAAATGTATCAATTCAAATTATAAATGTTAATTTTACTGAAGAAATATGCTTTCACAATTTGCTCATAAATTATGGTAATGTCACATTTTTGAATATTTATATTATTTTCTAACATATACTCATCTTATATTAAATAAATTAACACAAAAATTTTGATACACTGTTTAGAATACGTGAATTATGTTAAATTTAACACAAATTTTCCAACTGTGTATTTATATTAATGAACAAATTTATAAGAAGGGTATTGTGATTTTCAGATTTCTCACGTAATCCGCGAGATACGACATTTCCAGCAAACTCCCTATAAGATCGAATTGGTCACGAAGGTAACCAACTATCTACTCGACACATCGCTCCTGCTGAGCGAGAGGGATCTGTATCGTATGTCCTTGGAACTCGAGCCCAGAACATCTAGGTTGAGTAGTTCTACCTTAATCGATATACCCCCTTCGGTCAGCCACGTGTCTACAAAATGAATTTGTTTCGTCCTGATGTACTATAAAGCGTGAGACTCAATTCTACCTTGATTTTACAATGAAAAAAAGGGAAATCTAGGTTCAGAAGGATCAACTATTTATTGCGACCGGCCGATCGTTACGACGATCGCGAATGCGACTCGTCGTGTTATCAGCCCCGTCCATTTCTGTCCACCTTCGATTATAACGTAACGTCCGTTGACTTCCGTTGTTGTTTCAGTTTTATTTATTGCGGTACGTTTGAGCAAGAGTTATATAAATAGGCTCGACAATGATCTCATCGTTGCGCATAGAATGGCCTCCGATTCGCGGTAGGGAAACGTAGCGAAACTACAATATGATTGGATTTCAACGAAACTTCCGTGTTACCAGAATTGTTGTCTTTTAACTTTTGTTCAGCTCCATTATTACTACAGTTAATTCTATTTCTACTTCAAATTTTAAGATGACAAATGTTCTATTTCTATCGTAATCCAAAGTTGTATTGTGAAGAACTGATAAAGAAAGTAGCAGATTTTAAGTAAGCGCATTTAATATAGTAAAGTGTATAGATTCTAAAAAAGTGAAAAATGCGTGGTTGTACATAAAATCTGCTGAAGATAAAAATACCAAGCATTAAATAGTAACGAGTGTAGAAACACTTTCTTGTAACAACATTATTATGCTTAATCTCTTCGTGTCGTTATAAAGTAATAATCTCATTCAAATGATCAGTTTGATCTGTCCGATAAATGATATACTCGTACATTTCACAGAGATTATCTGATTTTTTTTTACAAAATAAAGGCTGTTGTTGATTTTACGACAAAATAATCTCGATGAAGGCAACAAAGAGCTGTCGTTGATTTTAGTTTAGTCAAGCTCAATTGAGCCAGTATTATTGTGCGAAGCATATACAAAAAACAGTTTGAAACGAGTACACTTAAGAGAATCGATGAGAAGCATGAAAGATGAATGGAAATTATATTCTGACAATCAATAGCATAACGATATCACTGTTTTCTGTTTATTCTAATTATTACTACAAGTATCAAAGTAAATTCGCTTGTCAAATAGTTAACAGCTAGTTTGTTAATTCTTAACAAAAAAATTTCAAAATTGCATATGGATATATTATAATATCCTATTTTTATCAAAATAGATAATTTTTATTAAACGACTCGTTATATTAACGTGTTGTTATTAAATTTTCGATTTTAGTTCTGATTTGGATATTTACTGTTAAAATAATATTTAAAAAAAATCTCAAATATCCAAAAACTATACATATACAAATTTTCCTTATTTGCCAAGTGAGATATAAGTCTTATACAAAATGATATTATACATATCAATTATATTAACATAATTCCAAATTACTGTCTCTCTCGCCCGCCTCTATATTTTTATTTAACATTTATACATACCAATAGCAACACCAGATAGCTTGAAACCGGTATTCCGTTGACGCATGCACTGCGAAAGGAAAAAAAAGAGGCGGGATCTTAAATGAAAAAATTTATATATTCATATATTATATATATATATATATATATATATTATACTATATCTATTTTAGTTTTACGTTTATCAAGAGACTTTCGGATGCATTTCTGCATCTGCAAACTTAACGTTCCCGCCATGCAAAGTGTACATGATCTTTTTGAGCTGAAATATGGAAACTATGGCGCGCAAACCGCGCATTTCTGTTAATCAAGTACGCGAGAAAAAGTCTCTCTCGAAAAGTGCCGCCTTTCGAAAAGGCGACGAGTAAAGCGCTCATAAGAGCACTACTCGTATCTTTTAAAATTAAAAAGTGCACCTTAAGATCGTGTCACGCGGATCAACATTAGAACAGCGCATGTAGACATTCCGATAATCAGGGTTTATTCTCAAACACATTCCGAAACAAGCATATGCGATTTCAAATACGACAGTTGTCAAAATGGCAGAACTTGATATTTATATTCTTCTTTCGCAAAGTCTGCGCCCTTCGAATACGACGTATGACCAATTAATTAATTGTAAATAGCTCGTTACTTGTATCAAATTATAACTATCGTTAAAAGTCGATTCGACTATAATCTTTGCGTGATCCATACAGATCACGTATGCATTTTACACTTTCAAGAAATAACATTTATCTTTCAACATCCTAAACTATAATATCATCCATAGGCGAAAAACAGAAATTATTTCTTAATTTATATGATTGATCTTATAATTCTTCTTAAGATGTTTTCAGCTAAATTAAATTGATTAATGCGATTGGAACAATTTTCAAAGATTTGTACTTATTATATGAGTATGGATTAATTGTATAAATTACAAAATCCATCGATGTTTATTAAGACACGATTAAACGCATATTGTACAAATCGAGAAAAAAATTATTAAATTTTAATAAATATTTCTTTAAATAGTCCTAGCGGAATATTTACTTACGGTAAATAAGTATTTAAATAAATAAAAAATTACAATTAAATTAAATGGTTTCTGTATATCTAATAAATATGTGTTTACATGTAGTAAATATTCCTCTAGGATTATTCAAAGAAATATTTATTAAATTTTAGTACATTTTTTCTTAATGCAATAATGTTAAACGTTCGTTCCGTGAAAATTATTTCAGAAAATATTGTATAGATTTTTTAAATTTAACTACGAAGCATCCACTGAGAAAATAAGTATTTACCACTAAAAGTTCAAAGATATAGTAGAAAGGGAAAGAGAAGGAGGAAAATAAAATTCGCAAATCAATCTTTTGCGGATAATTTTACAAGACGTAGCATATCACTGTCACAATCATTAATCTATTAACGTCCTTAAATCTTGTTCGCTCAAACAGAACTATAAATTTCAGATACTACATGTGATCATTTTCAATTGCTTTGATCGTGAAATTACGTTTGAAATATTTTTATTTGTAAAAGCAATCCAATTGTAAAAGCTTTTACAATTTGTAGTTAAATATATAGATAATAGTAAAAATTTGCATTATTCGTATTATTTCGTATAATTGTACGTTACAAAGCATTTTTTTTAAATTCATATAAATTTAATCAAATTCATTCAAAAATATTTTGTTTGTATTTTTCAAACAAAAATTTGCTCTTTTAAAATATAACGGAACATGACTACGTTTGGAACATTAAAGTTTATGCGATTTGTATTCCCACGATTTCATACCGATCGTGTATCACTGTTTTTCCTGTGATTTCAATATCAATTCCTCTTCTTACAGCTTCGTTGTTTTTTCGTCGCGAACGATCTAAACTAAAAGTGGGCAACGCAAGGTCCGTTAATACGGAATAATAGTCTGTTAAATTAAAAATAATGTAAAAAAGAATTTAAATAATAATATTAGATTTTAAGAATTCAAAGTAATAAATTTTAGGATTTAAAGTAATAATATGAATCAGTAAAATAAAAAAATTTATAAAAGAATTGGTATTTAATAGTAAATGCCTAATTCTAGTATACGTTATAAATTAATGATCAATATAATTAACTGCGTTTTTTTGATGTATTTCATAAACAAAATTCAATCTAACTTAAATATATATAGGGAATGTATATTTTTAATTAAATTTCTGTATAATTTAAAAGATTGTCATAATTCGTAAGACATTCTCACGAATTTGTTGGCTACTTCAAGAAATTGCCCACTTCTTATCAAAATCTTGTGCCAATTTGGAAGAAAGATCACGCGACGAATAAGAATCAATTGCATCGACAATCTTTATGAGATCAGCTCGAATTAGTAATGACTAGATTATGATTCGGTCTATGATAGGTAAAAAATATTTTCTAATTATATGAATTGATCATCAATTAATGTCGATGCAATCGGTCTAAAATGCCAGAAGAGAAAAGTTTATGTAATTTAGAATCTTAACGTATAACTGTAGATCGCGTCGTATAGCAGAGCTGTCTAGGCACTCACGAGTTAACGTTTCTCTCTTGTTCGTCCCCATGTGTTCCTTTGCGTGAAGTTAGGCAGCTCTGTCATATAACATGGAAGAATATTTTCTAGAGTGTACAAAGATAGAATTACGACTACGTCTTTACGAATTGTTATTATGTTATAATTCTCGATCATTCTTCAGATATAATCTGATATTGTCATTTTATTATTTTTTAGAAAGGTCATAATATTTACATACGTTCAACGTCTTCAAAAGTCAATAACCTGACATATGTTGTCACGGATACATCCCTGAATAACATTAAAAAATTTTAGCTGTTGCTCGTTGTTTATTAAAAGTTAGTCATAAAAAATATAATCATACAAATGTTAAAAATTAACATTTTTCTTATTTATAATATTGTACGATATTTCACATATTTTTGTTTTAATATAATATATTGATAACAGTGTTCGTTGAAAGTTAAAAACCTCGTGTGGAAAGCAAATATACATATATGTATATCTATATACATATACTTGGAGACAGTATGTTCTTCCTTCCTCCTATAGGGAAATCATCACAGCACTAACAAAACTTAGACATATAGGTCTAGATTGAATCTCGTTTTTCGTAAAAGTAAACTTAAGAGGTGTGTTCCGTTTCACGTATGATGCGCATAATATATCGTTTATTCTTGTTGTTTACCAAATATTTAAAAAAGTTAAAATGATACATTATGCACACATATACGTGAACACACTCTATGTAAAATCTCGCCTCTCGTAAATATACATATATTTATTTCTCAAATGTACAAAATGTCGGAAAATCGATGACATATTCAATAAATTTTTTGTTAATTTGTTAACAAACAATGAGAGCGAAGGATAAAGTCTTTTGATTGTTCTTTAGGGATATATCCATATGTCATTGATCTTCGAAGGGATTATTTTTATGTAAATATTTGCCAACTTTTATGTGATGTTATAAGCAGGGATTATTTAGCTAGTTTAATTATTAAATTTCACAATGCTATTGTTCAATTAAGATTAGTAATTGTTATTGTGCAGAGGCACAAAAAATGTCTTTCCTAGATCGAGGTTTCTTCTG